TAATTATTTTTAAAATTTAGATAATTATTTAATTATTTTAATTTAATTTAATTATTATAAATAAATAACAATTTATTTATAAAAATTTATTAACATAAAACTGACATTACATTTGCACCAACCTAATACAAGCCGTAAATATATATATATTATAAATAATAACAATATTATATAATATTGATATAAGCAATCTTAGCATACTTTACAGTTACTCAAGTATTTATGTTCAATTTTAAACGTTTTCTTACGGATCGTTTCACCGTTTACACCTTTTTAATCACACACCGAAATGAATACCCAAAATGGATAAAATCGATACACGAAAATGCATAAAAATAGAAAACAAACAATATAACATTGAAAATTAAATTTAAGCAATACCGACTTGTTTTTTGTCGGCACTTATTTAAACACGCATCGCATTGCTCCTGTGCACTGACACATTTTCTTATCGTATAATGACGGGACAGATGATTTTTGTAAGGAAGGCCGAAAACGTCAGTGAGCAAATTGGTTTCATCAGAGCACGACATGCTGTTTTTTGTTTCATCATTTATTATCTGAAAAATTAGCTTATTTAGAGAAAAAATTTTTTACAAAATTAAAATAAAATCATACAAAATTGCACTTACCGTATCAAAACACGACAGGTTTATGTTATTTGTTTTATTATAAAATCCGCAACTGTTCCTTTTGTTAGAAGGATTTTTGCAGGATGAGTTCGGTAATATTTCCAAATTTAAAATGTAATAATCTGGGACAGGATATCTGCAAAAAGCTTTTAATTAATTTGTTACGTATGTGACTATTATAAAAATTTTAAAAATTTAACCGGCATTTTTTTTCAATTATATCATGAATGAACATTTTTGTTGTGTTGTTTGGATTTGTTAGCATGAAGTCGTTGTCATTACTAGTTTCATGATTGACATCGGTATATTGAGGCAATAAATTTACGTTAAATATCCCGATAAATACTTTCATTCCAGAATCTCTGCTCCAAGCAAAGTCCGACGCCTGAGTAGTGTCAGTAACATAATAAATAGCATTGAGATCGCGCATGCTGGTGAGGTCTTCATAAAATACATTGCTGCTTTTTTCTGTAACTTCTAAAAAAATTAATTTTGTCACATATTGAATGAAATATGAAATAAAAATTGAACCTATAATATATTCGAAACCAATCCAGAAATTCGTATTGTCGTTGAAACTTTTAGCTAAATAGAAAAAGAAATTGCAAGTTAAGAATTGTGGGGAAAGTATATAAAAAGCGTGATTATATCAACAGTCAATGTTAAGCAAAAATAAACTTCATTTGAAAAATTATTTACAATTGATCTGCACAGAATTATCAAATATCAAATGTAGTCAAAAAACATGCGTAATGCCTACTAACTTAAAGAAAATCTTAATACAAATGTTCACTGAATAATGATTCAACAGGCCATAGCGGCAATGGGCACAATTTAACAAAATAGTTGCAAACTTTAGTTTGTTGTATTGTTTTTGCATAACTCAACTAAAAATAAATAGTTTAGTTGAAATGTTAATTTAACTAAAATTTTTCTGTTGCCAATAAACCAGTTTAACTCAAATATATTTTAGTTAACTCTTTTCGCCAAGTCACCACTTGTGGTTTTTAAATATGAATTTCAAGTCGAAAAATGCAATACAATTGAAGTTTTTCTTATTTTTAAACCAAGTAGGCCTAAATGTTCAACCGATTGATGGGGTTGAATTTATCAAATCGTAACATGACCGAGAAGTTTGTATGGCGCACGCATGTATGTACCTATCATATAGGTATTTTCACATGCTCTCGAATTTATGCGTTTTTCAATGTAAATTTCTAAAAGTTATTTTAAAGTAATAAAAGGTTAAGAAATGGTTTCAATTGTTTGTTATGTTACGGCGTTTATATTGATTTAGATTTTGTTTGTTAACTGATTTCAAAAACAAGTTTATAACTCTCAGTTTTTTATTGCAAAATAGTTTTAGTTCAACTACAAATATTTAGTTAGTTGTCATCACTACCCCATAATAGCAACATTTGGTTAACTTTAGTGAAAACAATGGTTTTAACAAATACAAAAAATCGTATAAGCAAAAAAATAATTCATTTTTAAATCTAAACTCTCCAATAAAAAATATTCGGCTGCGCCAGTTATTGACATTATTAAAGGTGTTATTTATTTTTGCTTTTATATTAGATTTTAATAATTGTTTTACAAAATTCAATATACTTGTACATATATTGTTTCATAAATTGCTTCTAATATTTTTCAGCATTCGGTTAGATTAGCATTTTTTTAGCATTTATAACTTTTTAACTTTAAAGTTTAAAGGCAAATTTTTCCTGTTGACCTAAGAACGACGTGGTTGGTTGGGTAACATTTTGAGCTTATTTTAATTGTTCCACTTAGTGACATGTAAATATTTATTGAAAAACTGTTTTTATGCATATTGATAAGTTAAGAAATAATTAAAAAATTGACACATGAAAATAAAATTTTTGCCATCTTTGGATGAAAATCGAATTTTTGCCGTCTTTTGAAACTTTTTCATTTTTTGAAGAAGAAAATAGCCATTTATTTATGTTATCAAGTTATTAAGCCGGTTTGAAAGAATTATTTGACGTAGCACATGCGAATGCAATGGAATTAATAAATATTGAAAAAGATAAAGAATTTCTTAAAGCACAACGTCAGAAAGGACGCCCTGGGAAAATGGATTCTGTTGTAGCTAAATGTAGTAGTTGTGACACCAATGTTATAGCGTCTAGGACATGATCCACAAAACTATAATATCAGTTATTCTTTCATCCGCCGCCAATAAATAAAAAAGCAGTCAACGGCTCTATGCCTTAAAAGGGCTTTAAAATCTAGTGTTTTCTTAACTATCCATTGGGATAGCAAACTAATAGATGACATTGTAAGAGAACAGTCTGTGGACAAACTTCCTGTACTCGTGACTGGAAAGGGAATTGATCAGCTGCTTGCGGTTCCTAAATTGCCAGTAGCATCAGGTGAAGCTGCAGCATCTGCAGTTTTGAATGTGCGGTTTTATGGGGATTTTGTCAAAGATTCAAAGCTATGTCATTTGACACCATAGCAGTGAACACTGGATAATTTAATTGAGTCCTACGGAAGGAAATGGTGTGGCTGTCCCGTCGTCACCATATGCTTGAAATTATGTTGGAAGCAGTTGTGAAGCATTTATTTGGTCTTTCAACAAGTCAAGATATAGCAATCTCTAAGCTGTTAAAAGAACATTGGCCACTCTTTGAAATCAATTGAAATTATATGTATGTAGGGCGGCGTGATGGCTCAATGGTTAAAGGCGCCTGGTCTTGCTATTGCATTGACTGGGTTCAAATACAAAGAGATCCCCGCCTATCATATGCAATGTGTATGATGCGTGGTTTGCACGCGTATTCATATACGCTGTGTGTATTTGTCGTTGAAACCTCTGAAGCAAACGCAAAAGAGAGAGAGAAACCTTTAACCTTGAACTCTCTGATAAACATCATTTCAGACTTCTAACAGACGAGTCTAGTACACCAGTATATGTTTGTGTGAATATATATGTGCGAAAATATGCTAAATCAAATCAAAATTTTATTTATTTAGAATCCAAAACCACAAAATGAAAAAAAAACAGATTATGCGGTTTACGGAGATCACATAAGAATAACAAAACTTGTAAAGACCACCGTGAATACAATAATCAATTTAAAAATAAGAACACACTTATATACAAAAGTTGATCAATTCACTAGAAGTATGACTGACTGGTGCTACCTATTACAGCTAAGTCATTAACATATGGATAAGCAGTTCAATTGCACACAATACAACATATAATCATAGTATTTAATTAAGATAGTTCATTAAATGACGACTATGCAAATATGTAGGCTAATTAACAATTAGACAAAAAGAACAAGAAAACTGAAATTTTTTTGACTGTTTCCACTCAGTGTTAAATTAAAGTGTACTTTAAGCTTAAAAGTGTACTTCAAAGCTAAAATGTACTTATTTTTCATTTCGTTTTATTCTTTATTTTTCTTTTTGCTCAACAAAAACAATTGGTAAATTTTGATAGATGCTGATATATTTTACTTTTAGTTTTTCTTTCTTTTCTTTTCTGTTTATATTGTCATTATATGAATTTCACAGTTTTTTTTCTGTTTATGTATTCTATTATAATTAAGCACTGATATAAAAACATGATTACTTTTTGTGCTTGTGAATAATAATAATAATGAAGAGTCGTTGTTAGATATGATATGATTATGTTGTTATTAAGTAACTGGTGACCGTTACAAGAACAATGCTTTTTTGTTTCCAGATCATTTTATTTCATTGATTCTGTTTTTTTTTATTTGATTTGGAGAAATAAAAATGTTAAATGTGTTTGTTGCTGGTTATTTTTTATGATTCTTTTCATGATTTTTTTATCCTGTTCGATAGCGGTTAACGTGTGGTTCTTATAATATATTACCATGTTATTATTGTTTTTATTGCATTATTGTTGCATAAATGTTGTAGTTGCTGATTTTTGTTGTTGTCTTGTCTTTTGTGACAGATTCTACATGGCAAGTCATTTGGCAAAAACGCTTGAATCAGAGAGTAGTCTGAATAAATGCCATGAGGTGATAATTTAATGTTGGAAACGGGAAATTTTTAGATGTCGCAATCAAATCAAAAGTGCCCCCTTTTTCATGTGTTGGTTCATTGACTCTATTTACAAGATTGAAAATGCCAAAAATATCTAGCAGAGAAACTATGTGAGAATTAATCTTATTTCTAGGTGAATGTTGAAATCACCTGCTACTATAACGTTGCAACTCACCAAAGTAATGATTTCTAAAATATCAAAAAGTTAACTGAAAAGTTTCGATAAAATTGGAGCATATCATTGTCTGTATATGGCTAGCAAAATAACGTCAATCCCATTTATCTTAAACTTTTTAGCTAACGCTTCTAAGGTGAATGTTGTTGGCAATTCAATTCTTTTACGGAGAATAGTATTTCTAAAGTAGACTATGATTCCACCGTAATGCGGATCGTGAGGTTTCAGAAAATCAATAAAATCAAACACAGCCATTTTAACAAAAAATTCATCATGAGAACTATGCCAGGTTTTTGTTAAAACTAATACATCAAATCCCTCATGTATTAGTTCAAATATCCAATCAATTTCATAATCGTTCAGTAATCCAAGTAATCCAAGACAGACATTTAGATTGTTAAAAGAGCTGTTGCTTTTTTGCCGCGCGGCGAAATTTTTCCTTTGCTCGAATATCAACAGCCGCCGCCGCCAGCCTAGGCAGTCTTGCTTCTGGCCGGGACTCGCCTCTTCACAACTTTTTATTTCCGGGTCGGAAAATACGGGCCGGGCGGAAGTATTATCGCGCCCTGCTTGCTGGTCGGTTAATCCGGCCCTATTAACCGCTAGCAAGTCTTCTTCAAACATGTTTTAGTTTTTAAAAGTGACAAACCAAGCCTAATCGAAATAATTCTATTAATGAACCAAAAATAAAAGAAACAAAATAATATTCTTTAAAGTAAACAAAATGCTATTCTTTAAAGCAAACAAAATAATATTCTTTAAAGCAAATGTTTCTAAAGTCAACTAAATTAAATGTTCTAAATAAACGAAAAATAATTTTACCAGCCGTAACAAATGAAATCCCAAAACAAGAAACACGACAGAGCAACCGTCCGACCAACACAACCACGATAAAACCAAAGACTAATTCCCAACGCTATTCCAAAACACCAACTTAAAACACTAACTTTCCTTTTTTTCCTACAATAGTCCAAAAGGTTTATATACTAAACAAATTCTAAACAAACTGAGAAACATTCATTCTCAACCATACTCACCATATATGCGCCGTATCAACATTCAACCAACCTGCCTGCAAAACCAATTCATATGACATTCGACCAGCCTGCCCACCTGACCACTTCATACAACATGCACGCCAACATACATACTTGCGCCATTCATTCCACATGCGCGCTAAAAAAAACCTCAAAATCTTTTCAAAGTACTGTCACAGAACCTTAAATGTCATTACTTTTTCATTCTGACAACTCGCCACATCCCTGCTAACGCCATCGCCATCATGATCACTATAACTGAGCAAGCATCGACTCCCATCACCATCACAACCATCAAACCAATATCAGAGATTATTTTTCCGGTTTTTTTAACTTGACAATACGCCACTTGCCTATCGTTCCTTTTACCCTGAATAATAATTTCAAACTTGAGGGCTGATTTGCTTTTTCTTCATCAACGAGTTTTTTAATTCGTGACGTTGACCAAGCCAGATCGAGATCATCAGACAAAGATTTCAGTTTGAATGAGTTTTTCATGACTGTTCCTTTAATGGCATCATCTTTCATCCCTATCAATATAGGACTAATTTTTGATTTTGCCATATGTTCAAGTTTGAAAATTTTTTCGATGTCATGATTATTGACATCACTCGACAATTTCTTAATGCGATTCTTGACTCTGTTAACATTATCTTCTTTTTCAGGCAGATTAAACATTACAATATTATTCCCTCTTTTTTTAATTTCATTCGCATCGTCTAATGACTTCGTTTCACTCCCTCTTTGATTACATTAATTTTCTTCATAACTTCTTGCCCAACTTTTGCTTAAGTCACCCTTGAGATTTTAAATCTTAGTACTCAGTATGGCAGTTGGTTTACCCAATCTGTCTAACATATCATCATTACCTTTTTTCTGATTCTTTATTTGTTTCAGCTCGTCTCTAGCCACAGCATTTAAATCATTAATTTCCTCAATTTTTGCTTCAATTCTGACATTGTTATCTTTGACGAAATTAGCCAGCATTTTTACATTTGGAAGCACCTTCAAAGAGCAGTTGTAGAACCACTTTACATTCTTTGCATTCGTAACCGCATCGAATGAGGCATTGCTTAATCCACCACATTTAATGTGATAAACAGCTTCACATTGAAAACATTTTATTTCATCTTTCTCTTTCATTACCTTCAAACACTTGAGGCACTTGACAGCCATACTCAACTAGAAGACAAAATGAGAAAAATCAGCTTAATCTAAATCAATGTTATATTTTCAAAAAACAATTTTCTCTCTAAAATCTAATGTTTCTAGAAAATTTACAGCTCATTTTCTGTAATATAGGATTATGTCGTGTCATTGATGTTTTTAAATATATTGCTATATTTTTTTAGTCTTTGTTAAATGGTGCTCTCAATAGATGATGTTTTGTAACCATTACTTACTAGTAGATTAGTCATTATTTTCAGTTCCGTATTGCGATCTTCAGTCAAGGATGAATGCGTGAATGCACGGTTCCCAAAAGATTTTATTTTACTTACTTTGAATTGTTCCGTACTTAACCCATTTAAACAAATACCTTTACTTGATGCTTTGACGTATACGGCAGTTGTGAATCTTCCTTCGTCATGCCTTACCAAAACATCCAGAAATGACAATGAATTTTTACTTTCGTGCTCGATAGTGAAATTCAATTTTGATTATTTCAGGGTTGCTAGTAGATGGTTGACTTGTTCCGGATCATCGTATGCGACAAAGATATTGTTAACATATCTGGCATAAATGTTTGTTTATAATTCCGGATAGTCTCTAAACGTTTTGCTTTCAAGATGTCCTAATAAGGAATTTGCGAACAGGACACCGAATGGTGAGCCCATGGCTATCAATCACCATCAATTTGCTTGTATAGCTTGCCTGTGGGGTAGTAGAGTATATATATATATAGTCAAACCCATTCTCATCGACATAAAACAACCCCTAATAAACAAACAACAAATGATTTCAACTATTAACTCTTGCTCACCTGCACTGGCTGCCGATTTATCAACGCATTAAGTATAAAATAGCTGTCATCACATATATTGATAAAACACTCAACACATCTCAACCATCATATCTTCACAAACTCATCCGCCTTCTCTCAATCATCGCCATCATCTTCGTGTGCCGTCATCCTTGCAATTGCATCAACCAGTCAATACCTCAGCTCTCGTCAATAAAGGCTTCTCATATTGCTCACCATCAATATGGAACAGTTTGCCACTCATCATCCGTCAACAATCATCAATTGAAACGTATAAAAAGCGATTGAATAGGCCTTTGGTGGCCGTGCTGACATTTGTTTATCCGGACGCCTCTGATGCTATGCATAGGGCGCTCATAAATGACATTATTATTTTTATTATTATTATTAATATTATTATTATTATTATTGTTGTTTTTGTTGTTGTTATTATTATTATTATTATTGTATATTTTTTATGGTGAAAAATAAAAGATGTTCCCATTATTATTATAATCCCGACAAAAAGGACAATAATTTAAGTCTGTTTACTAAACACATGAAATTTTTAATATTAGAATACCAATTATAACTATTGAGTATTAATTTTTTATAATCTTATGTTTTATATATATTTAAAAACATATTTTCGAACTATGTCTGAACCTCATGTTATGTCTGTGTATATGTATGTGTATTTTTTTGAATTATAAATATTTTCTAAACTTCACGCTATATATCTGTATATATATATATATATATATATATATATATATATATATATATATATATATATATATATATATTCGTCAAATTGAACTATTCTATTGAACTATTATAATCAACCTCATGTTATATATCTGTGTATATGTAATTATCTGTTTTAATTAACTGGTGGCCTATGAAGTTCATCCATGTTAAACTAGCTTGGTCTCCAAGCCAGAATGTTATTCGAACTTTCTTTTTTTGTGTTTTGTTCT